AGATGCTCTAGAGAGTCTGTGTAGCACGACCCGTTTGGATCATTTGGCTGCACCAGTCGCCGCTGTATCTCAATCTCGTCGTCGCCCTCAATCGTCCTTTTTCGTTTCTCTCTCGCTGGTTGTATCGTGCTACGCGCAGAACACGCTTGACACGTACCTTGCTTCTCATCACACCTCAGATGCGATTGGCAAACTGCTTTGCTATTGCACCGCTCCCCCACTTTACCAGGCTGTGTCTCGGAATACGGCTGACACACACTGTTCTTGCACAAAAGGTCCGGTGAGCACGAATCCGCAGCGTCGCACAAGTGGCCGAGACAGCCGAATGTGCAATCGCTCTGCTCGATGATGTAAGGGTTCAAGACTACGCTTGAGACGTTGGAAAGACCCAGGGGCTTCAATTTCCATTCTTGATTGTTGGAGCCCGTGAGCATGGCTTGGAGGTGCTGTGCTGTTTTTTCGTCGGCAGAAGGCGGGATGATGGAGACGGGTGGCGGTAGGTACTTGGTCCAGTTGAAGTTACTACGGGCTGTCACCGAGCGTTTGAGAACGTCCGTGAGGGCGGTCCAGGTGGTGTAGGTGGGATGGATGGGGTTGATACGCGAGGTCTTTCCCTCGGAAAGGGTGGTTAGGTGAGAGTATATCTAGAGTTTCTTTTCGTTAACATCACGATGCATATTTTTTTTCTTGAAAAGACGGTCGTCAGTGAGAAAATAAGGCCACGTACCCAAGGGATTCCCCGGTAATTCAGCGCATTCCCCTGATCAAAAACCGCTTCTTTCTTGTAGAACAAGCCAAAGTCGGGGTTGTGCACATATGTCCATTCCTCCACCAACAATAATTTGCCCTCTTTTCCTTTCTTCCCTTTGCCCATTGCCCTCCCTGTCAGCGTGTTCCCCGGTAAGAACATTTCCGCCCACGGCGTCCCCGCCGTTCTCTCCGCCGTCTTGTCAAAATACCCATGGATGCCAATGACGTCAATAGCCTTGCAGTCGAAGACGCTGTCTGGGAAATTCTCGTTCCCATCTACACTTTGTGGTCCAGAGACCCCACCACTGATGACCGCAATACCAGCGCTATCAAGCCCGATGCTAAATTTCAGATATGAGGCCATATCACAAAGCCAGGATTCGCCAGACGGTATCGGGCTGATGCCGGAAAATGGCTGGTTCTGCAGATCGACACCCAAGATGACTTCAGAGAGGGAGCCCCAGGACCGCCCATCAAAGTTCCTGGAAGGGTAGTGTTTGAAGAAGACTTCGAGGCGTGTTTTGTAGAGATTGCGGTACTCTTCGCTGCTGTAGAAATCCAAAAAGGCCCCGTTGAGTTTCTGACAGTAGGCATCACAAGGAACGTCATTTGAGCCACGAAGCGCATGTGCGTCATGGGGTGCGATGATGACTTTAACCTGCCCCTTTGACAGATGGTGGATGGCGGCTAGTGTATCGTCGAATTGGTCCAAGAGAGATTTGTCGAAGCCGCCTAGCTCGCCTTCTGGATCCGGGTGTTGGGCATCTGGACGGATGAATAGGCGGATTACTCGCGCGCCGCTTTTGACGATTTCACGGATGCTGTCATCGCGGTGTTGGGGGGCGAAGAATTGGAGTTGTGGGTAGTTGACACCACCGAAGGAATGGTGGTTAGCTGTTATCCTGAGCGAGGCAGATACCGGCGATGTCCAGGAGGTCAGAGAGACAAGTACTGCTAGAAGTGAGTGAAGCATCATGTTTGCGACAGGTACATGGAAGGCGACGGAGGAACTCCAACGGACCGGACTACAACGCGGTATAAGTCACACATCTTCAACTGGACACGTATAGAGGTCGTAGTATAGACAGATCTCTGTTGCGGAAACTAGTTGCCACGGGTTGCGGGATTGAAGCTGTTCATATACATATATTAATTGCGGTCGTTCGTGTAGCCAATCACGGCTCGCTCAAGTTCTATACACGCGGGGCTGCTAGCCTGGACGGCGGAATGATACTATTTAGCGAGTTGATTCTTCTAAAGCCGTGATTAGGTCTATCATGCTGTTGTAGTGCTCGTCACGTTCTCGGACGGCGGGTTGCATAGTCGATACGCCAAGGAATGAACGATCCAAAACTCACAACTGGCAACATGTCATCATGCTGCATATGTCCCGACATGCATCCAAGGGAAGATGGTATGAGGAGCGCAAATTCTCAAGCGACGAAGAGTGTAGCAAAGCTGCCTTCCTGCCTCATGCGCGCCGATATGTGTCCTGGCCACGTCGGTCGTGACCTTGGTTCGGATGGAAAGCTACTCGATGTGCAATGTTTTTCCAGGGCGCGACGTCAGCTACAGCTTGCGCGACGGATGTGCGAAATTGCCGGTCTACGCATGCGATGTCTGTTATTCAGTCAAGGACCAAAGTGCCTAGCCATCAGCACACTGTTTGCATCTGTACAACGCATTGTACGTGAGACACGATATGTAGGAGTGTCGTATTGTCATCCCCCCGGTTTGTCGCATACGGCCTCAAGTCGCTTGAGCGTTGCCATGACCTCTTCCCCAATGCCCTCGCCGCTGGACGATGGGGCAAACCGGCCATGGCGCAATTCACTGAGCGCGCCCACAACGTCTTGAACTTCTGTCAAGGCTATTCTGTTCTCTTGCTCTATCTCTGCAATCCGAGCCTCAAGGCTTTGGCACGCTTCGTCAATGTCGGAGTGGACCGTCTGTAGGGTGTGCGGTTTCTTACGACCTTGGCCGGACATCTGGTGATGAGGTCAGCACGGGTCGCAGTAGTCTCTTTGGTATAACAAGCTACCTCCTCCTCCATTTGAAGCGCAACGGGGTCCAGTCCAGCGACGGTGGCATCGTCTATCTGGCGTTTCTCCCGTGCATACTCCCGCCTCAGCTGCTTGGACCGTTTGACCTCGTCGATGATGTCTTGACGGACGAGCTCAACATCCTTGTCGCGTATCCTCTGAAGCTCGCGATAAATCTCTTGTACAGCGGGGTTGGACCGGTGGGCGCGGGGAAAGATGTCGGTAAAGTCGCGTAGGGTGATGAAGTCGCGCAACGGAGCGGGGGCGAGGAGGAAGTCACCGAGAATCTTGGCCTCTTGCGACGGCATGATTATGGTGGGAGACGTTATGTTCAGATGGAATGCAACTCATACATGTGATTGGTGAGGCAGTGATCGTGGTGGGATCGCCCAACGAAGGAGGCTCATCGGAAAGCGCGACGCGTGCTGGCCCGTGCCCAGAAAACTCCCGTGAGACGTGCCTTCGACGACTCTAAGCAAACATCGACTGGACCATCTATTACCAGGCTCATCGACTTGCTCACATTAATCAGGCAACGGGAACTGGTGTTTTGCGCTGCTGAGCATCTCTGTCTGACTGTCATCACTCCCATAGGGACGCGCTACCTGGACGTGCAATCTCCAGCACCCTGACCGCTTTCTTTTCTGACTACCAAACACATCAACACCAGATCCATCGCATTTCATCGCAATCATGGCGCCTGCAGCCGCTCCAGAGGCTGCGTTCAAAAAGGACGAGAAAGTCTTCTGTTTCCATCATGAGTTGCTGTACGAGGCCAAGATACTTGAAGCGCGACCAGTAGAGGAAGACAAGAAGAATGGCTTCGAATATAGGGTGCACTACAAGGGCTGGAAGAACACGTACGTATCTTCACTTTGTTTGAGATTTTCTCCGCCTGCCCATCGTTCCGCTCCTCACTGCGGAAGTCACATTTGTCCGCGTGTACACTTCACTCTCTCAATCCATGTACAACACCACTGCCATTTATCTATCTTCACTCCATCTCAAACTCCTAATTTAAGCATCCAACGAGTCGTGGATTGGCGTTGGGTCCAGTTGCTAACACCTCGCAGCTGGGATGACTGGGTTCCTGAGGATCGGCTTCGCAAACTGTCGCCTGAGAACAGAGAGTTGGCCAACAACCTCAGGCACGAGATGCTAGCTGCCCAGCGTGCTGCAAGGGCCCAGCCCGCACCAGCAAAGAAGAAGGCGCAAGGTTCGGCACGCGGTAGCGAAGAGCGCCAAACCTCTGTCTCTGCTGCCCCTCGCGGTCAGAAGAGGGTTCGCGACAACGACCTAGAGAAGGTATGTATCTTAGCATTTTGGCGACTCAGAGTGAATTCCTGACCCTTCCCAGGAAGAAGCATTCCAGAACAAGCTAGCAGTCAGGATTTACATGCCAGACAGGCTCAAGAGTCTCCTAGTCGACGACTGGGAGAACATCACTAAGAACCTACAGCTAGTGCAGCTTCCTGCGAACTATCCTGCAGGCGTCATATTAGATGAATACATGAAGCACGTCAATGACAACAGCAACCGCACCAGTATCGAGCGCGATATTCTCGAAGAAGTCATAGCAGGACTAAAAGAGTATTTCAACAAGAGTGTTGGCCGTCTTCTTCTGTACCGCTTCGAGCGTGAGCAATTCTATGAGATCTGGTCTCGCGTTCAACAACCGACTGATGAGCTTGCTGGGAAGCCATTGGCGGACATCTACGGCGGCGAGCACCTCTTGCGTCTTCTGGGTATGTGTTTTTACGACTAGGAGAAGCTTGATCTTCAGCTAACGAGGGCGACGCAGTTACCATGCCCGAACTCATCGCGCAGACCAACATGGACCACCAGGCTGTCACGCGTTTGCGTGAGGAGCTTAGTCAAATGACTACGTGGCTCTCCAAAGAAGCTCAGATCAACACCTTCTTTGTGCCTACTTATGAGAGCCCGGGACAAGCCTATATTGACAAGGTCAAGTCCAGCACCTAGGGGAATGAGTGATTTCGAGCTTTAACAGGTCAGCCTTTTCGCTTTGTCATCTGTGTATCATCACTTCTGCATGGCTGGTAGGTCTGGACGCATGGTCGCACGGCGCACTGGCGTTGACGGGTATTAACAATCTGGTTCGGAATTGGAGCATGTCGTGTTTTGTGGTCAAAAGAGCTCCAAAGTGATATGCATACAGGCATAATAATACAATCTTCAAAACTGTCTTCATGCTTTCTTGACCACTCGCTCCAACACCCCGGCTGCCCAGCGCAAACACTGCGTCATATCCCCCTCTGCTTCCCTCGGCATGCCACATATTCCGACCCTCTCACAAACACTTTCATCCAACTCCCCGTCCACGTCCCCGCCCCTGAACAGAAATCTGTGATCTTTGACGTAATTCGGCCATACGATATCATCGACATACCCCGGTGGATCTGTCCAGAACCCTTCAATAGTTACATACCCACTCCGCGCTTCGCGCCTACGCTTCGCAGTCTCGTAGGAAGTGCGGAGGAAGAGTTTGACGTCAAATAGGGAGCGTATGTCCTTCATGTCTTCTGAGAAGAGGAGGAAGCCATCGACGATGCAGATGCGTCTTTCTTCCCACCCCGGCGTACTACTACCCAGCCACGTCGATACATCCTGTCTCAGTTTCTGAATCTCAGCTTCGGGTACACCGTGTTCTCCGACGCTGTTTTGATCTTCCTGACTGACTAACCAGTCTGGGCTGTTTCCATGTTCTTTGATGTGTTGGAGGGCTTGTTGGAGTGCAGGTAGGTTGAGCGACTCTATGCAGTCCCAATCCTGGACGCCATTCTTGACCGGAATCTCGGCGTCGGTGAGGTAAAAGTCATCGAGATGTAGAATGAATAGCTTTGATGGCGGGAATATGTCTCGGAGTAGGCGAGAGAGTGTTGTCTTGCCAGACGAAGAGGGTCCTGAGATGCCGATGAGAAGGGGTGACGGCATGTTTACAACTTTTCTTTTCCGCCGTGCTTCTGACGGTCTCTCCAATGGCAAGCTCTGTATCAACTGTCTATTCAAATCACGCGCGACATACAACGACTATCAACTCTTCACACGTGCAATGGTGGGGCTTATCGGCGTCCGATCGCCCAACGGCCCGCTAGTTCCCCATATTGCGCGACGCGACACCTCTGCAACTACTGCGATTGAAGCTTGACCCTGCAGCATCCCACCCCGACATAAGCTGCAGAGAGCGCGGAAGCGTCCCACCATGGAGCCATCACCTCTGACCCAGGACTCGCGGCCTGAAATATTCCAGCCCAAAATCATATCCCTCTACGAAACCCTATTCAAAGTGTGTCCTCTCTCTCCCTCTCCCGCCCACTTGCACCAGCAGTGTTGCTAATGCAAAGGGGCGCCCCAGGAAGATGACGAAGATGTCGAATTGTCCGAGGGATTCTGGCAAGAATTCTTTCTCCACCGCCCCGATACAGCCGGCTTGAAGCGCACACTGGCCTCGATTGCGCCAGACGAGATGCTCCACCAGCAAGCGCGTTCACAGCAACTCTTCCGCCACGCCCTCCTCCGCGTCAAGCAAGCAAAAGCACCCGCCGACGAAATCGCCCTCGAGGTACCATGCCGCTCTTTGCCCTTAAACGTCCACACCCAATTCTCCATGCGCTTACCGCTTAGACCTTGACAGTCTTCCTCGATGCCGCTCTCACCAAGAAATACACGAATCCTAGCTCCGACATCATATCTGTTCTTACGGGGCTCAACGATGCGGACGCCGTCATGACGGATTTTGTAGCCACGCTGGATACGGCTATACGGGGTGGACGTGATGGTATGTTTTATCGTCAAGACCCCGAGGATTATCGATACTGACATCGACATGGCAGTTGCTTTGCGCCTGAGGGCCGTTCGAGCGACGCTGAGTATAACCGCCGCTGGCTTTCAGACTGCGCTGCCGAGTTACTTTACCCATCGCGATCTGTTCCCGAGTCTCATGAAGGTATGTTAGGTCGTTATATATATACATGGACAAACTAACTCAGCAATCCACACAGTACATCTCCGACTGTCCCTCGACCCCTCAAGTCGTCCCCGCCCTCTATCTCCTCGGCCTCCTCACAAACTACAACAAATTCGAATTTCAAAACCCGTATCGCCTGCGTCTCGACGACTTTGTCAACGACGCCATCATACAGGACATGGTGAGCTGTTTCGGCGACACGTGTAGGAAGCTGAGAGATAGCTATGTAGCTGTGCAAGATGATATGCCCGAAGGTTGGAGTCTGGGATCTACACTTAGTTATATTGGCTTGGGGGCGCTGGCGGGGAGTGGGAGTAGGCCAACGACGCCAACACCGGCGGCCCCTGAAGAGGCAAAGAGCCTCTTTGCTGCATTGTGAGTAACATGTCCTCTTCTTCTTCTGCTTCTGCTTGCTATGCCCACAGCTAACATCTCTTCCTCCCCTTTTCCCAGACCTGGTCCGGAAATCGGCATCCTCCTCTCTGTCTACGACTTCGCAAACGCGAATAAAGTCTTTTGCTTCAACCTCGTCAAATCTACCCCCAACGCCTCGTCCGACGCCGCAGCAGCCTCACCATCCCCCCTCAGCGCGTACCTCTCTTTGACGAGCTACATGTTCCAGCATGCACACAGGAGTGCGAGGGCGGCGCTGTACACATACCTCAGTCTCTTCGTGCTGCAAATACTTGTCGAGGACCAGACGCTCGCGAAGCGTCTGTGCAGTGAGGAAAGTAAACTGGACGTAAGGTTGTGTCGACAGCGACAACCTTATTTGCCGGTTGTGAGGGGGGAGAGGGTGCCAGGTGCTGTTGTGTTGGACATGATGAGTGATGCTATCAGTCATAATCTAAGGAGACGGTTGGATGTGGATTTTTACATGTGAGTCTATTCTACAATCTGCTATCCGGGAAAGGCGGGAGGAGGAAGATATGAAAGGAGAACGACTAACACTTTTTCTTTTTACAGCCTCTGTCTCGGTGTCCTATTGCGTCTGCTGTCCCACCTCAGTCGGACAAAAACGCGCATCACGTACCATTGGGCAGAACTCTGGCGAACTCTCCTCTCCTTTGTCCGCTTCCTCACCACGTACGAAAGCGACATCAAGAGCAACTACAAATCCAACAAGATGATTGACCTGCTCGTCAATCTCCTCGCTTTCGCGCTGTCGAGCGGCGAAAACTTCTTACCGGATCCAGCCGCGTACGACGACCTCTTCTACAAGCTCGTCGAGAGTGGCGATACCCTCGTCAAGTTCCGAGACGCGTTTGGCTTAACGTCGGGGAAACAGGGGTCCATGCAGACGCTGATTAACGTGTCGAATCACTATCAGGCCTTATTGAATGACAAGGGCAAGGCGAGGAAACATCTTAGTCCGCAAGAGGTGCACGCGGTTATCAAGCAAGGGTATGAGACGTTGAGTATTGACGCGAGTGAGGGGTTGGATCGGTGGGACAAGTTTCGTGAGGCCGACCACAAGTCAACATTAAAGAAGATTGCCAGGGTTGTTGTGGAGGATGCTAGGGGATTAGGTGGCGAGTAGTTGACGATAGTTGAGTAATTAATTCAAGCAAAAAAAAAAAAAAGTGGTTGCACCGTCGGGGAGAGAGGACTTGCGTATGTGTTGACTTCACCATTTGAAGAATATAACAATCTGATACTCGATGGGTATGTTAGCTTCCTGTCCTCCTGTCCATCCCGAGACCTTTACATGGTATCCCAGCTGCACGCACCCTCCTCACGCCTTGTAAAGCGTATCCAAAAAGCCCTTGGCCAAGTCCACAACGACACTCTTATTGGGCAAGCTCCCCGCCACACCGTACAGCGCCGCGGTATCGCCCTTGACAGCGCCCTTTGCGCCTTTTCCTTCAGCGATACGCTTGCGCTCCGCATCCCTAACCTCCTCTGTAACCTCGACAAGATCCTCAATCAACTTGTCCACAACGGCGACAATGGGCAGGGTAACAGCGACATGGATAGCGGGCGGACTCTGCAGGGCATTCAAATGCCAGCCCTTGTTCGACATGCCATCAGCAATGTCGTAGATATCCAGCGTGTTGGACAAGAAAGCCACCACGGAGACTTTGGGCTGTCCGATGATTTTCAAATCGGGTGATAGTTGCGGGTTCTCGCGGATAGCAGTTTCAATCTTCTTCATGCCACCGACAATCTTGTGGCAGGCGTCGAGATAGCCGTTGCTGCCTTGCTTGACGAGGGAAGCCCAGCACCCTGCAATGAGAGCGCCAGGGCGAGAACCGGCAATGGAAGGCGATGCGTAAACGCCGCCGGACCAGTCAGGCGAGATGAAGTATTGGTATTTGCGGTAGACGTCGGAGCGGTACAGCACCGTTGAGTTGCCCTTTGGCGCAAACCCGTATTTGTGTGTGTCGCAGGATATGCTTGTTACGCCTGGGAGACGGAAGTCAAAAGGGTCAAAGTCGAAACCTGCTTTGGGTAGCATGGGGATGATGAAGGAGCCCAAGCAACAGTCTACGTGCAGCGGAATCTTCTTCTTGACAGCGAGTTTGCTCAGCCCAGAGATGTCGTCGATGATGCCGTGGGGGAAGTTGGGGGCAGAGCCAACCAATAGCACGGTATTCGGATTGATCAGCCGGGAGACGGAGGGCAAGTGGACTTTGTAAGACGGGGCTTTGCAGGACACGAGATGCATTTTGATCTTGAAGTATTCGCATGCCTTGCGGAAGGCTGTGTGTGCGGTTTCTGGCAAGATCATCTCGGGAGATGTGACGCCGCGCTCATGGTAGGCTTTGTTACGGGCAGAGAGACATGCCATGAGAATGGATTCTGTGCCGCCCGAGGTAGTCACGCCGGCCGCGTCTTCGGGTGCGTTGAAGAGGGAGAGCACCATGGCTACGATCTCGGCTTCCATCTTCCTCACACCAGGGAACACATCGGGGTGGATGGGGTTTGCAACGGTGAACTTGCCAAACGCCTCGGTTTGCAGTCTGATCAGCTCGTCCCCGCCGTGGTATACCGCGCCGCTGACTCGTCCGTCTTCCCATCGCGTGTGCTCCATGTCGGCCAGTTCACCCAGCTTCTTGCGCACCTCTTCTTCGCTCCATCCTTCAGCGGGTAGACTGGTGATGCGCTCGACGCCGGGCCCGCTCGGAACAAGCTTGCGTTCGAGCTTCAGGAGAGATTCAGAGACTTGGGCTTGTACTTTGTCGCGCACACCGGGCAGTCGGAGGAAGATGCCGTAGAGGTAGCGACGGATGCTGATGTAGGCATCGCTGATGGAGCCGAAGATGCCGCGACCTTTGAGTTGGTAGAAGGTGATGCGTGTCCAGCGGAGGAGGAAGAGGACAAAGATGATGTTGCGCAGACTGTATACCCATGTCAGTACACTGTGTTTCCTTATCGCTATTGCAAGCGCGCATACACATCGATGTTCAGGGCGACGAGCTGGCCATTAGCGGAGCTCTTCCGCGCATTGAACGTATCGCGTAGACTGACGGGCAACCGCGAGGAGCCAGGCATCGTGGGCTTAGTGGGGAGTACACTCTAGGTCGGCGCCAGAAGCATACTGTGAAAGCAGGAATGCGAAGCCGGCGCGCGCATTGATTAAGCATTGCCAGAGGGCTTGCCTGCTACGTCAAGCGTCGTCTATCACATGTCATGTCTCGGAGTGCCAAGACACCCGTTGCCGACCGCCTTAACGGTTTAGAAGCGGGGCATTGCTACTTTGGGAGACAACATCACAAAGTGGCAGCTCGAATGCATCATCACTGTGATAGTACTCGGATTATGCATTACGACGAATGCCATTGGACCATGGCTAGATCGGGTCACAGAAACTGACCACCATCATGTGTCCTCGCACACGCATTCAGTATCGCATCCCGGCCAACAGACAACAGAAAGAGCATGGGGAGGAATCGGCATTTCTGAGCTGTATCAAGCATCATCAACGCTAGGGGTTGTAAAGGGTCTTGCAAGCAACGGTTGTTGG